TTTGGATTTGCAAGCAACTGCTTACAAATAAATTGCTTTAACTGCAGCACTCAAAGTCCAGGTGATTTTCTGCTCATTACTATGGCAGGGGAAAGTATACCCACAAGGGAGGGGGGGGGGGATGATGGACCTGAATTTGAACTTGCAACCTTGCGATACCACGCCGCTCACTCCACCGCTGTGCCAACTGGCTGGATGTACACGTGTACACTTACAAACACGCACACGCGCACACAGTCATTTTTGTTTGATGCACCTGTAATAGGAATACATGAAATCACTGCTGCTTCAGGGATGACATGAAATGAAAGAGATAACAGGGGAAATTTATTTCTGGCGAGGCAGGGAAGAAAGAGTTACAGGTTTTGGCCACCTGCCCCATGCTAATGAACAACATCGTTCATTAATATTCCACAGGATATCAAAACTGCTATGCAGTGCGGGGTACATCTTCTTGGTTCTTTCGGTAAAGTCACGTAGAATGGAAATAATAAAATACAATTTTCACGACGTTTCGGCCACAACGCAAGCAGCCGTCCTCAGGTGAAGAACAGGTCTGTCGGAAAGACAGCGTCTGAATGACAGGTCTGTCTTTCCGACAGACCTGTTCTTCACCTGAGGACGGCTGCTTGCGTTGTGGCCGAAACGTCGTGAGAATTGTATTTTATTATGTTTTATTCTTATTATTTTATTATTTCCCTTCTATATGACTTTACCGAAAGAACCAAGAAGATGAAGTCCCGGCAGTCACGAAAGCTTTAAATCGAAATTCAGTGCGGGGTAAGCGAGCAGATTTCATAGGTCACATCGAATACAGTACCGAGACGTGTGCATGGATATGTAGCCCTTCTGACAAGACGCCTGCACACACGAGCTACAATGTAAACCGACACGTGAGAAAATAAATGTTACAACAATTAATTATTTCGGATTGTGACATTGGGGGTGATGTAAAGGACTTTGCTTGAAATCCTTGAAGTTGGTTAACTTTCGTGCGTTCCAAAAACAAAGATATTTAAATTGGACAAAGTCTTAAGAGGTTATCCCCCTTACAACGTTATGATGGTTGGTCATTCCGTTGGAGAATAAATTTGACGCAGTTCAATCCTGCACATGGGGCATGCGCGTTTGTATGACCACAAGATAAAGGCGCAGCTGTGCAATCACTCACTCATGCCGCTACTGCTGGCAGAAGGGCCTGGAAAACCCCACGACAGCGTACTTGGCCTATTCTTCCACCAATCTGACCAGGGCATCTTGGAACATGTGCAAGTAGCCCGCACTATGAATAGAGCGACACTTCACGTGTGTGAGTTATACGACTTCCAAAACGATGACATTTTGTGAGGGATGTGTGGAAGAGCTCATAGCATCTGCAAATAACGTGCAATCTGTTAAAATCCTATAAAACATGATCTTAACTCTAGATTTGAACCTTTCGTGACTGCAAGGATTCATATTCTTAGGTTTTTTCGGTAAAGTCACGTAGGTAAAACATCAAAATTAATGAAAATAAAATAAAATAAAACAAAAATCACGACGTTTCGGAGGCAACACAAGTCTCCGTCATCATGCTTGATGCAGCTAATTCGGCTGTGACGGTCCCACCTGATGACGGAGACTTGTGTTGCCTCCGAAACGTCGTGATTTTTGTTTTATTTTATTTTCATTAACTTTGATGTTTTACCTACGTGACTTTACCGAAAAAACCTAAGAATATGATCTTAACTTTCACTTTATTGGAGGTGGAATACTTTAGTAATTCTAACCACAGCTTTTACTGGGCAGTAATCCATAAATAAGGAGACACTCCAAGGTGCGTTGGTCTCTCAGTGAACAAGTCAAAATACAAATAATCGCCAACGTATAGCCCCCTCAGTTTAACACGTCACTTTAAGATGTTTTCTTGTTCATGTTTTTGTTTTTTGTTTGTTGCGGTTGCACCTGATTCAAGAGCCAGATGGCTCACAGGGCTATACCTAATAAATGAACTTGAACTTGTTCAATATTATCCATTAGAGGTTTTTTTTGTGGTCAAATCGCGAAAAAAGACACATGTATATGTACATGATCTAACCCAAAAAAAACCTCCAATGTGTATAGCCGCCCCCCCCCGTCATTCCACTGCTGGATGAAGAACTCCGCACGTCGCGCGAGTCCCGGGGGATGTCTTGACTACAACTCGCCACACGCAGGGCCATGCGCGTTGGCGACACAGCGGGGACGATTTCGATATCGCTCGCCACTGATGCTGGCCGGGAAACAAACTCGGGTCGCTGGGCTCACAGCGCAGTGTACGATGTGCGTGCGCAGCTCCTCGCCATTTAAAGAAATACAGAATCAGAATATTCATTTCTCCCGGAGAAATGCGATGAGCCTATGGAAGCTCTTTTTCACATATGTCTGGATCGGGGCGCGGGTCAGGAAGTTACAACAACAAACAATGCAAAAAACACGATCCGAGTGCAAAGTATAGGACAGAAAAGCAAATCACAGAAAAATTAAGACGTAAAATAGATAAAGCGTACAATCATTGCATAAGGTGTGTAAGCCTCGTAAAAGTTTATTCTTCTGGCCTTCTCTCTCTGTCCAACCAGCAGAAAGGTGACGTCTACTGTGATACATGTAAAGCGCGTATCACTCGCAGTGGGGTTCAAGTGTGAGCGGCACGCATCGCTGCTTCGCGAGCCATCTAAACATTTTTATTTTACCAGGTAAGGCCCACTCAACTATATCGCTCTTTTTCAGAAGCGACCTGGCCATCAACGAAGTGGCTTACAATGTGGAAATGTAGACGTATGTTTCTAAATGTGGAGGAAAAAGCCAGAGGACGTGTAGAAAAATACCACACAACCACAGGAAGAGTGGACGTGCAAACTCAAAATACAGGCGGCAAGGGTCGGGATCGAACCCACGACCTGCTGTATACCAGGCGAGGCAGTTAACATCTCCTCGCCACCGAGTAGTGGCAGGGTAATCTAAATCAAGTCGCAGCACTTGGTATTTTGCTTGGTTTAAATTTATTTTCACATTGTTTAGTGAGCAGCCAGCTCCATTACAAGCTCGGCTTGTGTCCCAAAAGCATTTGGAGTCAGCTGGAGATGACACTGATGTAATCACGACTCCGCAGGGGTTGATGTCAACCAGGCGATTTCCAAGAGACCACACGTGGATGCGCTTGTCAGATAAATGTAGTTATCATTAACTCTGCATTGATGTAATAGATTCCATTTAATAACGGAAAAAAATCACAGCGCTCACCTGGGGAGATGTACAATGACACGAGATGCATTAGCTTAGCATCAAGAAGGCAGAGCTAATGTGTACATATATTTATACCCTCGCAACACAGGCGTGTTCCCAGAATCAATAACACGCAGCAATAACTTAATTCCATAAGATTGGCGGAGTGGCTTGAAAATAACCACGATTACCCCGTCACGATAACGTACGAGGAACTGGGAATTTTAATTCACGACTGGAGGAGAAACAAGCAGAATTTGGAGACTTGGAAGAATTTATCATCTCAAAAAGGTGAGGTAGTTAACATCTTGCCACGACGGCACTCCATCTGGGCCAGCATGGGAGAATTCTTTTATTTTTTACACAAAATTGCTCAGCACAGTACTAAAGGCCCCAAAAACCTCAAGATGCCAGCAACAAACATCACTATCAAAGTTGTAACAAATAAGAGAATCACGTTTCTAGAATTGAGCAAGGTTATGATGAGAGCTTGGGAAAAAAGACGGCGATGATTGGAGAGGGAATTCACAAGTGCAGCAGTGTGAGTGGGTGCGTGCGTGAGTGAATAAATAGGTGAGTGGGTGCGTGAGTGAATAAGTAGGTGAGTGGGTGCGTGAGTGAATAAGTAGGCGAGTGGGTGCGTGAGTGAATAAGTAGGTGAGTGGGTGCGTGAGTGAATAAGTAGGCGAGTGGGTGCGTGAGTGAATAAATAGGCGAGTGGGTGCGTGAGTGAATAAGTAGGCGAGTGGGTGCACGAGTGAATAAGTAGATGAGTGGGTGCACGAGTGAATAAGTAGGTGAGTGGGTGCGTGAGTAAATAAGTAGGTGAGTGGGTGCGTGAGTAAATAAGTAGGCGAGTGGGTGCGTGAGTGAGTGAATAAGTAGGTGAGTGGGTGCATGAGTGAATAAGTAGGCGAGTGGGTGCGTGAGTGAGTGAATAAGTAGGCGAGTGGGTGCGTGAGTGAGTGAATAAGTAGGCGAGTGGGTGCGTGAGTGAATAAGTAGGTGAGTGGGTGCGTCAGTGAATAAGTAGGTTAGTGGGTGCGTGAGTGAATAAGTAGGCGAGTGGGTGCATGAGTGAATAAGTAGGTGAGTGGGTGCGTGAGTGAATAAGTAGGCGAGTTGGTGCGTCAGTGAATAAGTAGGTTAGTGGGTGCATGAGTGAATAAGTAGGCGAGTGGATGCATGAGTGAGTGAATAAGTAGGCGAGTGGGTGCGTGAGTGAGTGAATAAGTAGGCGAGTGGGTGCGTGAGTGAATAAGTAGGCGAGTGGGTGCATGAGTGAATAAGTAGGCGAGTGGGTGCGTGAGTGAATAAGTAGGCGAGTGGGTGCGTGAATGAATAAGTAGGCGAGTGGGTGCGTGAGTGAATAAGTAGGCGAGTGGGTGCATGAGTGAATAAGTAGGCGAGTGGGTGCGTGAGTGAATAAGTAGGCGAGTGGGTGTGTGAGTGAATAAGTAGGCGAGTGGGTGCGTGAATGAATAAGTAGGCGAGTGGGTGCATGAGTGAATAAGTAGGCGAGTGGGTGCGTGAGTGAATAAGTAGGCGAGTGGGTACGTGAGTGAATAAGTAGGTGAGTGGGTGCGTGAGTGAATGAGTAGGTGAGTGGGTGCGTGAGTAAATAAGTAGGTGAGTGGGTGCGTGAGTAAACAAGTAGGTGAGTGGGTGCGCGAGTGAATAAGTAGGTGAGCGAGTGCTTGGATGAGCGAGTAAGCATAAGAGCAGAGCGGTCCAGTGGCGAGTGCAGCGCAACTCACACTTGGAAGGCAAGCGGTATCCGCAGGTGATTTTGGCCTTGCCGGTGCTGCATCCTCCGAGGGAGCGACACTCTTCCTTCAGCAGGGACCCCGCCGACCTGTGGATGCATCCGTCCACTGCCAAGAACAGGGCGGCAGCAAAGGGCGTCAGTCTTCACGGCGGTACGAGCGGAACGCACGCGGCCTACCGAAGCACACTGCGTTCTCACTCTCCGCACCTCCGATTAGCACAGTTGGCTACGTACGGTGCGAAAGAAGTTCAACATACATACTTGCGCACTGCCGCACAGTGGTGGAAGTAGTGCTGGGTAGTATGCCACGCATACAGGCATTCACACGCACACATAGCTCGGCACTCAAGTGAATCGGGAGTCGATCAACATCATGGGCTGCATGTACATATAACAACCTCCGTTCCATAACTAAGTGGCGGCGACGTCACCACGGCGCCTGTGCCACGCTAGGTGCACATTGAGACCACGTGTAGTGTCGAAGGCTCGCTGGTAGGACGTCACGGAACAGACCTAGGTGCCATGGGTTGACTGACCGAGATGGCTGGCAGATGCACTATGTAAATATGCATGCGCACACACACACGCACAAACACGATCGTCACCAATTGCATCACAATCATTCATCCATCCATATTTGTTTTGGCACGTTTTATATGGAGATTCGTCACGTTTGTATGATGGTGGAGGATTAATGAAAACAACTTTGGCACAACTGGCAGCACATGACCCAACCCAAGCCAATAAACAAGCATCAAAATTACGTATGAGCTCTGACAGCCGACATTTTATAATTATAATCATCGTTTATTCACTGCCGGATAAAGACCTCTGCGTGCAGTCGTCGCCTTTCCCCGTGGTCCCAGGCTACCAGAAAGGACCTCACTCAGTCTCTCTCGAGCTGCCATTCCAATGCCAATGTGGCTCATACATCACGGCCCCTTGCGTCAGCGTATCCCATCCAAGGACAATTGGACAACTACTGGCCATCTGTGAACAAGAGCTTAGTTGCGCATCGGATTCCTCCTGCAGTCAAATTAAAGATTCTGATTCTGACGTACTTCTCTTGGCTCCTCAGACTAAACTAAACAATTTTAATTTTACCAGGTAAGGCCCACTGAGCTATACAGCTCTTTTTCAGAAGCGACCTGCCCACAAAGGACAGCTCAACGAAGTGGCTTATCATGTGGAAATGTATAGCAGCCAAATACTCTGAATGTACGTCGATTCTTAATGCGAGGAAAAAATGCGGAGGACCCGGAGAAAAATTCACACAAACACGGGCAGAGAAAGAGAGAGAGGCACGCACACTCCAAATATACAGCAGCAAGCGTCACTGTCGGGATCAAAACCAATGAACCTCCTGTATACCAGGCGAGGGAGTTAACATCTCCTAGCCACCGTGGCGCGATTACGCGGCGAGCGCCTGGAAAAGGCCCTTGTGCGGCTCACACAAGGGAGATGGGAATGGCCGGCGGCGTGTTCACACACGTCCACGTCCGTCTCCGGGTTGCTGACGATGGCCACGGGCACAACGCAGCAGCAGGAATTCATTTCACGCCGACACCCCTAAGGGGAACCCCCCCCCCCGATGCAAGGTTCCCTGTACGAATTTGCAATGTTGTTGTTTGCGCGTGGGCAGAAATCAAATGAGTCTTGCTGAGATCGTACGACTTGTGTGCTAGCCGTCGCACCACCCTACCGCTACATTAAAACCACAAAGCCAGCAATTTCCAATTGTGCGTATCGGTGCCGGGCTAGGTGCACCTTGCTAGCAAGTATCCTCATCGACTGTTGGGGGGGAAATGCTGTTCAGTGAGCACCTGCTAGAGCCAGCATTGCACCTAACGGGGTGGGGTACGGCCACTGATACGCACACGATCAAAGTCTTGCAAGCGCCGACTCTTACACATGGCACCAGGTAACCATTTAAGGCTAAGTCGACCTACAGCACACGAATCACTTGTGTATCATTAAGAGGGGCCCATTGCCCAAAACGTGACCCCGTTGTGCGCATATTTAGATTCAAGGCCGCGGTGTTTTTTGACGAACGTGCCGCGTTTTTTTTCCTTCTTCAAATTTGACTCGCGTGGAAAGTGCAAGCGCCGTGCTGAATTCCGTTATCTGTGCCCCCACTACCAAAGCGGCATCCCCGTGTAAAATCGTCTCCCGCACGCCAAGCGCGGCGGCTTTGCTCACACGCGTTCCGCAGCATACGGTTGGGCTGCGCGATAGGCCACGACAAATCCACACGATGCAACAACAACACCCCGCCATTCGCCGCTGACGGTGACGTCACCGCGGCGCGTGCGCCAGGCCAGGTGCACTTTGAGGCCACGTGAAGCGTCGAAGGCCTTCGACACACGACTTTGCATAAACGTGACGTGTGTGTGTGTGCGCACGCGCGCAAAGTCACACGCACACACAGATGTATTGACAGCTTTTATCCGGCAGCTGACATCAAAGTGGAACTACAACGGGTAGCTGTTCGCCACGAATCGTAGCCACGTGGACGACCGACGGCAATCAAAAAAATATTAATATCATAGAAAAACCCAGAGGCGGACGGGTCAGAGAGCACCGTGGGAATTGATGCTGTAGAATGCTCGCTTCCTGCTTGTTTATTGCCTATGCTTTACAATGAGGAGCAATATTTTCCGCGGCAAATGAAGAAAATAAAATACGACCGGAAAATGTCATTCTCCACGAGTGGCCTCTGGGAGGGGAATATTTAGGGGCCTCTACCACTGGGCTTAGCACCAAACAGTTCTAATAATTTTCGGCAATAAATAGGGGCGAATAAAACAAAATATATACGAACAAAACTTTATTAAGAGTGAGCCTTTCAAACAATGTGGAAACTCTGAACAAAAATAAAACTAGGCTTTGCATCAATGCGAACCTTTTTAGCAGCAGAATTACAACGATACATATAAAACCCCAAATCCCGTCATACATAATACACGTAACATTTCTTTTGATTGTAAGACCTTGTGAAACGATCAGATGAGCCATTTGTCAAAGCTTTAATCTTCAATGCAAATAAAAAAACCCATCCTCCCTGAAAAATAATATACAGTCCGTGAAGCAAATATCCTCCATATCTGGAGCCTCGTTAAAGCGAGACTCAATCAAACGCAAACATCTTGTGCTGCGTCACAGGGAACTAAACGAAAACTAGATTTATTTTACCAGGTAAGGCCCACCGAGTTTCAACGATGTGGCGGCTTATCGTGTGGAAATTTATAGCAGTCAAATACTCTAAACGAGTGATGTTGAGTCTAAATGTGGAGGGAAAAACCAGAGGACCTGAAGAAAAATCCACGTGACCACGGGGAGCACATGCAAACTCCAAATAGCCACGCGTTCAGGTCAGGATCGAACCCATGACCTCCTGTACCAGGCGAGGTAGTTAACATCTCGTCAGCGTGGCGCCCCGGCACGTGGCTTGGGAAACTAAATCCCGACACCGGCCAAAAGAATCACTACGAGGCTTTAACGGCAGAAACGTAACACCACTTCACGGGAACTCAATCGTAGTCATTCTACAGATAAGACTTCCACCATCATACAATGTGGAATTTCCGCAACTGGCACAGCCGTGTGAAATTTCCCAGGAGCGAGATGAGCACCGCTCTCTCACGGTCATTTCAGCCGGGATAGAATCGCTAAAAATAAAATTGCATCCGCCTCCAAGTTTAGAAGGAATTTTCAACAAATCTGCCTCTGCAAAACATCCGAACAGCGAACTCGGCAGCCCAAACGCTTTGCATCGAGCACACAAATCATCCCTCGGTGCGGTCCCAAACCGTAGGAAACTTTAATTCCCACCACTGGTTCTGAACTCCCAATGGAGTCTGGCAATGCACAGCGTCTACCCTAATTCAGCGAAAAGGTTGGAAACACAGCCAGGATTTTTTCGGGGCACGAAAAGTTTCGTGAACGTTTGTGGAATCTCTAATGCCCTTGGTCCAACATTCCCAAGTTGCCCCCCCCCCCCCCATCTTAAGTGGTCCGAGCCTTGCCGCTAGCTAAGCATCAAAGGCCACGTCGCCTGCTTACTGGTAGATGTCAACAAACCCACTTTCGCCTGATCCAAGATCAATGTATTCCCCTTGCTCTCTGGGTGTGGTGTAAAAGAAAGAATGCATCGCTGCCCTTTGGTAGCAAGGGAGAACCGATATATGCGTGGGAATATATGTATTTAGCAAGTTTATATTTATTTTTCATATTCCAATTATGTCTTGAGATTAACACATGAACACGGGGGAACTCTAGATAAACGGTGTGTGGGGAAAACGGCCCGGCAAGGTGAAGTCACGTAACGACTACTTAAAGTCGCTTCGAGCGGCGTTTTAACCGCGCTCGGGCTCGGGACAGCTAGTTTAATGCCCTATAAGAGATTGCTAATGGCATGTCAATCAAACAGACATTTTGAAGCCTCGAGAGCTGGAATAAGATGAAGTGAGGGGAAACCAGATTTAATGCGGTGGCTACTTTGGCCAGCCACTGAGGACTGGTCTGACATCAACAAATCTTCTCCTCGGAGAGAATTTGCTTTTATCACTGGCGGCTGAAGCCCCCGGATTCAAACTCAAGGTTCTTGATGCTGGCCCAGTGCTCTGACCCGAACAAGTTGGCCTCCTCTTCCTACGGAACCGTTAATATACAAGTAAGCAGCTGTGAAGCCTTGTGGTCATGAATTAACGCTTCGTTTATAACAGCCCGGGGGATGTGCTGCCGTGATGGAATGGCCATCACGCTGGGCTTGCAATCCAGATGCCGTTGGTTCAATCTCGCGGCGAGGCAGCTGAAGCGATGGGCAGGTTTGTCGAATCCGATACGCCACTTCCAACTCGGCAGTATAATGGCGGCGGTGGCGCGGTTCGTAGATTGGCGGGTCAAGTGCGGTGGGGCAAAGTGTGGGTACTCCTCCATCTCCCCGGATGTCTGACCAGTGTGGAAGAGGAGGTGAAGATACCACCGAGATGGGCCTGGCCAGAGCTTCCTCCAGTGCAGCAAGCGATCGTAGAACCAAACTATTACCTCGTGTTTTTTTTACCTTTTATAACAGCCGAGCCGTTGGTAAGCTCCCCACTGGCCCAG